ATGCTCCAAGCTAAAAAACGAATGACACATAACACTTATAAAAATCTAAGAAATAATTATATTTAAAATTGTTTTTATCTCTTCATTTATTACCGATAAAATCTAAGATTGTTATTGCATGATACATAATTTAATCAATGTCAATAAAAAGTATTGAACGTCAAATTTTGTTTAAATAATAATAGGGCAATATCAAACTTAATTAAATATCAGGTGCCGAAGAAAATTTATCGTTTGATTTATTTTACTCGTGTATCCGACGACAGTCGTTCCAATTAGAGCTGAATTCTGTAATTAACGGCCTATAGATTATTTTGTTAAGACTGTCCCGTTTCCTTTAATTAAAAGACTAGAAAATAGTTAGCTCTGTCTGGCTAATCGAATTCGCCCGATAAGTTTTAAAAGTTACCCATTCGACGTTCAGTCTAAAATTCAATGAATCGTACAAAAGATGTAATCAAACTTGGATGATGTAAGTTATAATTTTAATTTAAAAAAATTATTGTAATTGTTCTTTCATATATGATGATGATGATTATCTCCATGTTTGTAGTTCAATCCCCATTTGTTTATACAATTATTTTAATAAATGTTATTGTACACGAGAAAATCGAGTTCAATCCCAACCGTATTTTTTTTAAATTCAGTTATGGCTTATTTAAAATTCTTATGAACTTCAAAATCTACACATTAAACATAATACACATTTTATACAAAATACAACAACACGAGTTCGGAACACACCTCCTTTATGACCTTCTGAGAAAAGAACTGGCAAAAAACTCTAGGATCTTATTTAATGCCATATTACAATAAAAAAAATGATTTCTATTCTCACTTTAAATTTTTTTGTAAAGAATAGATTTAATTGTTAAATGTAATTCTGTGTGCCTTAATAACGCATCCTTTGCGGAGAAAGTAAACATCGTAGGAAACCTATGTGTCTAAAATCCAACATGAAATCTGGGACATAAATAATTGAAGAAAAAACGAAAAAGAAGAAAAGTGTCCAAACACGTCTAGAAGCAGCGTAGATGACTACTTTTAGCCCTGGAAACCTCTCACTAATGTGTAAATACAGGCGTGTACCTAGCTGTGGGAAGTATTAGGTTGTAACTTTGTTGTAAATAATATCATCATCATTACATCCCTTCATAAGTCCACTGTTGAACACAGGCCTCCCCCAAGAAATGCCACAAAACACGGTCCTGAGCCACCTACATCCATCGACTAACTGCATGTCTTACCAGGTCGTCACTTCATCTAGTGGGCGGATGCCCTACACTTCATCCGCCGGTACGAGGCCGCCACTCGAGAACCTTTTTTCCTCATCGGTTGTCGGTCCTTCGAGCTATATGGCCGGCCCATTGTCACTTCAGCTTACTAATCCATTGGGCTATATCAGTCACTCTGGTTCTACCGCGGATATCCTCATTTCTAAGTTTATCACGCAGAGAAACTCCGAGCATAGCCCTCTCCACAGCAGAAACCTTGAGCTTCCTCAACCGGCCAGCAGTGAAGGACCACGTCTCAGTTCCATAGGTCATCACTCGTTTCAAGTTTCACTTCGTTTTCAAGTTTTGAGGTATACTTGACGAGAAGATGTGCCGTAATTTCCCGAACTTCCCGATTCCCGCTGCCCAACCGAGTTGAATCCGTCGATTGAGCTCTCGGTCGAAGTTGGACTTACCTAGTCGGACTATTTGTCCCAGGTAAACATACTCGTCAACAACTTCGAGCGTAGTGCTCCTAACAACTACAGGCCTAGGTCTGACATGGACATTAAACATGATCTTTGTTTTGTCCATGTTCATCTTAAGACCTATGCGTTGGGAGATACTATTGAAGTCATTGAGCATAGTGCTTAGGTCCTCCAGAGATTCTGTCATAAGGATTATATCGTCGGCAAATCGAGGTGAGTGATGTACTCGCCATTGATGTTAATACCGTATCCTTTCCAGTCCAGTAGCTTGAAAACGTCTTCCAATGCAGCGGTGAAGAGTTTCGAGGTAATAACGTCGCCCTGTCTTACACCTCTCTGCAGTTGGATAGGTTTCGTACTCTGGTTCTGTACTCGGATAGCCATCGTAGCCCTACTGTACAAACACTTCAGCACTTCGATATACCGATAGCCAACTTGGCACCGCTGGAGGGACTGTAGCACCGCCCAAATTTCGACGGAATCAAAGGCTTTCTCATAGTCCACATACGCAAGGCAAAGTGGCAGATTGTACTTTTCTGTCTTCTGTATAATTTGCTGAAGGGTATGTATGTGGTCTATGGTACTAAAGCCTTTTCGCGAACTGGATTGTTCGGCAGGCTGAAAGTCGTCGAGTCTGTGTGTGAGACGATTCGTAATGTAATGACTCTCGAAAGCAGCATAAAAAACTATATATACGTATATATATATATATATATGTATATATACATATATTTTTTTATTATTATAGAATTTATTATTGTATATAATAAAATATTGTTCATCTATATAAATTAAATAAATAATTGATTCATTCACGGTCATAATACTATTCATATCTTATGCTCCTATATCAAATAGACAAACAAAAACCCTCAAATTGATTGGAAGCAGCGACTACACATTGTGTAATATAATACTATTCAATAATTTGTAAATTTAATTACATTTCTGTAACATAATGACAACGCTAAGCCATACTGGAACTTTTTCCTGTATCGTTGAAACTAACAAATAGTTACAAGTAACAAGTAGTCGGTTTTACAAGGAATCCGATTTTAATCTGAATGAAAATTTAAAATTCGTAGAAAAACCAGAGAAGGGCTATGGCCCAGGGGACCAGGAGGCCAAGGTCGCATTGGGCTGGCTAAATTGCTTGAAGTACTGACAACCAAAGGGTTCTTCCCTTTGGTTCTCGAGAGGCAGTTTGTTACTGGCAATGGTGGTGTTGGACGATCCCACTAGATGGAGTAATGTCTTGGCGAAACATACAGGGAGCCAATTTGTAGGGGTAGATAATATTCAGCAGAGAACTTGTGATGGGCTAAAATAATTAACAGAACAGTCAGTTGGCGGCGTAAGGGGATTCATCTCCCCATTTCGTCTCGCGGGTATCGCAGAAAGCGAGTACCTATGACACGCACCCGCAACGCGCACGCTAAGCGCAAGCCACGCGCGTCAGCACCCGCGTCTAACTCGCTTTGAAATTTGTTGCATATAATTTGAGTCTTATGACAAATCAATAAATCTGAAATTGTATAAAAAGCGCGTGTGCGGGGTGAGCGCGGGATCAGCGCGGATGAGGCGGGAACGTGGCGGGTGCGTGGCGGGCGCGTGGCGTGGGCGGCGCGTGTGCGGTTGAATGTCGATAAATGCAATTTCAGATTTATTGATTTATCATAAGACTCAAATTATATGCAACAAAGTTCAAAGCGAGTTAGACGCGGGTGCTGACGAGTGTGGCGTGCGCGTAGCGGGTGCGTGTCGTCGGAACGCGCCTTAAAAGATGTGACTGAAAAATGTTGTAGCTTTCGATAGAGTACGACCATCTACTATACACTAGACGTAAAATACTAAGACCGAAGATAGCAAAGTCTAAGGTGCGAAATTTTTGGAACTGCGATCGTCTATCTGCCTGTCAAGCGTGGCAATTAAGGCAAATCATACCAAAAACGGAAGAGGTCCATGCCCTATTGTGGATTTTTAGGGTTCCGTAGCCAAATGGCAAAAAACGGAACCCTTATGGATTCCTCATATCTGTCTGTCTGTCCATCCGTATGCCACAGTTAAGATTTTCACACAAAAATAGAAAAAAAAATTTAGGTGTTCCTCATACTTAGAACTGAAACTCACAATTTTTTCTTCTTCAAACCCATACGAGTGGGGTATCTACGGATAGGCCTTCAAAGATGATATTGAGGTTTTTTTATATCTTTTTTTCTAAACTGAATAGTTTGCGCGAGAGACACTTCCAAAGTGGTAAAATGTGTATCCCCTCCCATGTAACTTCTAAAATAAGAAAATCATAAAACGAAAAAAAATATATGACGTACATTACCATGTAAACTTCCACAGAAAATTGTTTTGAACGAGATCTAGTATGTAGTCTTTTTATTACGTCATAAATCGTAAATTATGTTACTTGCTGCTACGGAACCTTTCATGGGCGAGTCCGACACGCACTTGGCCGCTTTTATTATAGGTTGATGATATGAAGATTTAGCAAAAACTTTTATCACAGAAAGTTTTGATATAAAATTTCTGCTTATTTTAGTAATTGAATGAAACTGGTTTTCTTTACGGGTTTTATCGTGTTTAGTTAGCTTATTTTAAATTCTCCCGTGACTATAAGTGCTGAATAGTACTGCAAACGTCGCGAATATGAAAGTAGTTAATTAAACCAATATCACAGATATCAATTTTTAATGAAAGAAAAAAGAGGTTTACGAAACTAATACCCAAGATTTTTCTCTTACAACTTGATTATCTTGCCTTTGTAAAGCTTTACTGGGATCAAATAAAGCCTGTACATTAATGTACAGAGCTAAGCGCTTTCGGCGCGAATCCGGGATTTATTCCGATTACACAAAACACTAACTACAAGAGATGCCGACCAAGGGAATCGAAATTAAAAGAAATATTCCTTTTCTTTAAAACACAATATAGATGTTTTTCAAGTAAAATTGAAATGTTATAAACTTATTTGCATTTTTTAAATTTTAATACATTTAATTTGCATTACGTTTTATTTTCCAGTTATATGAAGTTATGTTAGTTTATTATTAAGTTTTTCGTAATTTAAACGAACTGAGTTAGAATCCCCACCTGCACCTATAATATTAATATCTGCTTTTTGCTCGACGATGACGAAAAATGTCGTGAGAAAACTTGCATGTCGGAGATTTATAAGACACGAAGTACAACACAGCGTTTTAGGCAGCGTTTTAAGTGTACATACATTAACATATAAAAGCTTACCGTAACACCCTATTTATTTTGTGTAGTAAATAACAAAACTTACATCAGAAGTTACTTTAACGCTGAAATTCCGGAGAAAATGACCATTCTGCGGTCGCTGCAACAATCTTTTCACGCCACTAGCTTTCAGACTCTGGCACAATAAAAATGAATTATACCACATTATTATACTTCTAGCATCTATTCGAGAATAATTAAAATCATTTTAACAATATGAACGATGCTAGTGAACCGATGCGGTATCTGTGACTGCGTTGGTTGATAATATGACAACAGCTCTTATGTTCCAATGCACATGATTTGTGGTACGATAAAATACTTGTCATTCCATTGCACTCACTTAGCTGCCAATTACTTCAATACAAATTCACGGCCTTATTCATAAAAATAACAAAAATACTATGACCGATACGGTCTTGGTACAAAACGTGGGCTATTGATAGTCTTGGGTTTAAAAAAAGAGGAGCCGCGGTGCCACAGTCGGTTTCTTTACTCCTGTGGCCCTAGTCTTCGCAAAATTTGACATTTACTGTGAAATTAGAATTTCATACTTTACAATTTAGTTCCCACTTATTTTTTTACGGGACTTCTCTATAGAACCAGACATTAGTTTAAGCCTGAGACATTTTTTTTGCATTTGCTGTAAAATTCTACACTTTACTGTTAAGTTTACATACTTTCTCCAAGTTTACATAATTTCTTTATTAATGCAGACCGCAGTTTAAACCTGAGGCTAATTACGTACTACTTTTTGTAATAAGACGGTACAAGTATTATTTTTATTTGTCACGAAGTCCCTTAGCCTCGGTACATAGCCACAGTATTCGCGAAATTGTTCGTGAAATTCTAATTTCATACTTTACTTTTTAGTTCCCATATTTTCCACGGGACTCCTTTATAGAACTAGACTAGTTAAAATCTGGAGTGTTTATAAACTACTTTTTTCAACTAGACAGCAATGAAACTATAGTCAGCTTTGATGTGCAGTTTCTGTTCACATGCTTATCTGTTGAAGACTGCATCTCGATTGTAACAAGAAGCCTGGAGGAAAACAACATGCCCGTAGAATATGCATTATTACTCAGATGCTGCCTTACATTTGGTTACCTATTGTGGAAGGAAGAGTTCTACAAGCAAGTAGATGGCGTGGTGATGGGCTCACCTGTATCTCCCATTGTCGCCTATATATTCATGGAGGACTTCGAGGAGAAAGCCCTGCTTACTTCTCCCGTAAATCCAAGATTCTACAAGCGGTACGTAGATGACACTTTCACAATTCTACCTTTAGAAAAAGTAAGTAAGTAGTAAGAAAATGTGGGAACTGTTGCCGGGGTATGGTATGGATGGCCGATTGCTAAGGGCTGTGCAGTCTCTTTACTGTGGCTGTAAAGCCTGTGTGCGGGTAGGGCATGACCTGTCACCCATGTTTAGCGTCCAAACGGGCGTAAAACAGGGTTGTGTCATGTCTTCCTGGCTGTTCATACTGTATCTCGACAGCTGTTTACAAAAGCTGAAAGATAGCTGTTTGGGTGTGAAATTGGGTGACATAAAAGTAAATTGTCTGCTGTATGCTGGTGATGCAGTGCTTATTGTACCATCAGAGGCAGAACTCCGGGCATTAGTCACCGTCTCCGTTTGAACGCTAATAAAACTAAGTTTCTGGTATTTTAAGGGACGAAGAGAGAACGAAGTGTGAAATATGGGTAAATCAGGAATCTAGAACAAGTAAATGAAATTGTGTACTTGGGGAGTGCTTTTAGCCGGGATGGAAGATGTGATTTAGATGTGGACAGGCGTGTCGCTGCCGGGAACAAAGTCAATGGTGCCCTGACTGCGTTAGTCAAAAGGCAAGGCGTAGTGAAGAGTGCACGCCTTGCAATACATAACGCAGTGTTGGTACCGACTTTGTTATATGGCAGCGAAACCTGGGTATGCCAGAAGAAGCATAAAAGCAAGTTGAATGCAGTGGAGATGCGATCTCTTCGTAAAATGTGTGGCGTTACCATGGCCGACCGAAAGCGAAACGAAGAGATTCGCAATATGGCAGGTTTTAAAGATAACCTTATCACAAAAATTGATAAGGGCGTGCTTCGGTGGTTTGGGCACGTTGAGCGAATGAGTGAAGACCGAATGGTGAAGAAAATATATAGCGCGAAAGTTAATATTAAAAGGTGTCGAGGTAGACCGAGACTAACTTTCGAAGACCATGTGAGCAAATTGCTCGAAGAGGGTAGGGTCAAGAGTACTCGGATACCTAGACGTGCATGTATGAAGAAGATAATGAATCTGAAAGAAGCGAAAAAGGTATGTAAGGATCGTGACACTTGGCGATGTGTTCTCTCTGGCTACCCCGTCAGGGATTGTGCGTGAAGATAAGTAAGAAAAAGTAACTGAATTTTTAGACCATCTTAACTCCATAAATTCTAAAATTCAGTTCACAATGGAATTAGAGGTAAACAAGTTTTTAGCTTTTCTAGATGTGTTAGTAATGCGGAATCCTGATAACACCTTGAGCCACACTGTGTATAGAAAAAAGCCAAATACAAATAGATATTTAAACGGTGATTCTCATCACCATCCTTCACAGTTACCTTTTTTTTATAGGAGAGGGGGCAAACGAGCATGCGGCTCACCTGATGGTAAGTGACTACCGCCGCCCATGAACAACTGCAACACCAGGGGAATCGCAGATGCGTTACCTACCGTGGGTAAATCTTTGTTTCAGAGAGCACGAGGGATCTGTGACAGTAAACACCTGGCCACCGAGCTCCAACATGTCAAGCAAGTTTTGCACGACAATAAGCTTCGGGTCTTCCGTGCCTACGTCACAGTGAACGAGTGAAGCCGGCCACAGTCGAGCGAGTATCTGCTGTACTGCCATATGTCAGATGTGTCACTGACAAGATTGGCTACATCTTGAAGCGTGCTTCCATTAAAATACACTTCAAGCCGCCGAAGAAGATTAGTCAGTTTTTACCATCAGTCAATTTTAATGTCCCTCTGCAAGATGCAAGAATGTACAAGCTTGATTGTGAATGTGGTCTCTCTTACATAGGACAAACTAAAAGATCAATGAAAACCCGCGTTAAAGAACACATAGCTGATGTGAAAACTCGAGACTCCGGGAAGTCTGCAGTCTGTGAACACGTACAGAATCGCCCCCGTTACTACATTAGATTTGATAGATCACAAATCCTCGCTAAAGAACACCGATTCCTTCCAAGGATGATTCGCGAGGCTATTGAAATCAAAACGCATCCTAATTTCAATAGAGAAGATGGTTGGGTGCTACCATCTGTTTGGGATCCTATAATTAATAAAATTAAAGCCCAACCCAACTGCAAGACTTCAAGATACTGTAAGTTCATACTGCGTAGATCGGAACAAAAATTAATAATTTTTAATCTGAAGGTACCCGTGGTTAACTATGACATTGGGACGTCAAACACCTCAGTTTCCCCCGTGACCATGGGTACTGTAAATTACTCGAAATGTCGGGAATATAAAATAAGTTAATATATGCAATAAAATTCGTAAAACTAGTTCTATTTAAATGTGTAGTGTTCGCGTAAATATAATAAATCATTAGACGGTACAGTTTATCATAAAACGTCAAATAGTACTTAATTCACCAGTCCCGTAAAGGCAATAATTGTAAGTTGGCATTTTAGATATGAAAAAAATGAATATTTCTTTATTGTCTCATATGCTTTCTTAAACCATTCATCTGATAACACGAACTTTTCTGATAAGAAATATTTGTTTGTTCGTTTTCTATGTGATCCTATCTGATATCATTTATTCGATTACGATGTTTTTGTGCGCGTGTTCACGCATACTTCTGACAAATAGAGACATTGCATCGCCTGCTGCAACCGGCTCGCCAAGCGTGGCAACTATGTCAATATATCCCCCATGCTGAACATTGGCCTCTCCCATATATTGCCTCATAAAGGGGATATTTTTATAGGACAAGCGAGCACACAGCCCACCTAAAGGAATGTGGTTGCTGAGGCCCATTGACATCTACATCTATTCTCATTTGCGAATCAAAATGCAGATACGTTGGCAGCCGTGAAGACTAAGATGGAATGACTCTTCTCCGGTAAAAGGGGTCTCCGGTTCTCTATACTCACTATACGAAACACACCAGCATTGAGTTGCTGTCATACGCTGGTATTCTGTGAGAGCATGGTCCTTCCCCGGTCGAGTCAACAAATTCGTTCCACAACTATAAAATTATTAAAGCAACAGCATGGCTCTCATGGCTCTACTACGTTTAATATATTTGCCATAGTCAGCACGCTTGGCAGGCAGGTTGGCAATCGAAGTTTTTTTAAACGAACTTTGTACTATTATAAGGAAGATGCTGTAACCCATTTTCTGCTTTTTTCCCCCTGTCGTTTCTCACAACACCCACAGGATGAAATTTCGGTAGTCGAATCTCTTACGCGAACAATAAACGTCGCGTCGCTATACCATGGAGTGTAGTTTTTCATTATGTTTCGATTTGTTCCATGCTCTAATTTAAACATTTTTTTTAAATTATATTGGTCTGGAAAGTGCCTCTCAATGGTCTTTTATTATAAAAAAGAATTACTCAATAACCATTTAAAAATTGTTGCTAATGAAAATATGTATAATTTAAAGATGCTGCTCTTTTACGCCGGTATTCTGTGCAGCCGTTATCTTTCTCGACCTATTCGTACTGTAACTATAAATCACTGCAGCTTAGTTATGTCATAACTGGCGTAACTTTAAATTATAAATGTGGTATTATCATTAATGCCGCATTTATAATTTATAGTTATGCCAATCTACTTTAAGCCAAAGTGAAATATAACATTTATTGGCTTGTAAATGTATATGATACAGAGAAATGTCATTCAAAATAAATAAATTTAACTGTACAATTGTGACTGTGTGTGTACTTGTATTATCACTGTGCTTATAGCGATCGGGAGGGTGAGGCGAGGAGAGGACCCTCTACTAACTCAGTCACTAACAAGTTTTTAGCAAGTTAAACATTGGCCTCTCCCATATTGCTTCATAAAGGGGATAGTTTTTATAGGATAAGGGTGAAAAAAAGAGGACTCAGTCCATCTGATGGTAAGTGGGTGCTGCGGCCTATATATACAGAGACATACTGCAGATATATTAATT